TTAATATTGGCGATTTATGTTTTCCCTCTTTCACCCTTGATAAAGTTGACTAGGGGTTTATCAATATGGTTGATCTTTCTAAAGAAGCAGATTTTTGCTTTGCTCATTTTATCTGTTGCCTGTCTTCTGTTTTATTAATTTCTGCTCTTCTCTGTCTTCCGTTTTATTTATTTCTGCTCTTGTCTTTCTTATTTACATCCTTCTATGTCAGGTCTTCCTAATTTTCTTAGGATATTATCTTTGATTCATAACTTATTTAAAAGTGTGTTTAATTCCAGATATTTGGGGTTGACCTAAATATACTATTATTGAATTCCACCTGTGAATTTTCACATAGAAGAAAAACACACAGTTTGGGGGAAAAAGAGAAACTGAGACAATAAATACTTTTATCCTATTTCTGGGTTAATGTAATTTAGGTAATTTACCTGTATATTACTACAACTATTTCTGAGAGAGAAATACAAGCAGGTTAGGACAAGATTCGAGTCAGATGAATAAATAATAATATCTTTTCACAAAATATTTCATGGTTTAAATATCCTTCCATATATTTTCTTGTTTGATTTTTCAACAAAGTATCATTGTGCCCATTTGACAGCTGAAGAAACTGAGGTGCTTAGTATGTATGGGACAGAATGAGAACTTGAGTCAGGTTGTTCTGAAGTCACTTAATTCTTGTGCATCTTTTTCATGAAATGTTAATAAAAGTTCTTCAATAAAAGGACTTACTGGTTGTATGTGGGAAACACTAGAAGCAAACTTAAGTTTCTTTATCCAAGGACTTCTTGGAGCTTTTTGTGAATTTCCCTAAAGACTATTCAGTATCAGATATTTTCCAAAATAATTTGACCTCATAATTTGTTATTCGTGGAGTGTTTCATGAAGCAACTGCTTCATAGGACACCTTCAAGAATTGCTGATATGTAACATTTAATCTGCTGACACTCATGAGATTTTATTGAATACCTAATCTGCGCCAAGCCTGGTGCTAGGTGCTGGCAGAGTAAAACATTGTTAAGACATACTCAGTGGTATCTAAGACATTTCTCCCATTAAGGAGTCCTCATCATTTTTTCATTAATTCAAATAATGTTTACATACTTATCACTGTTGCTGCTCTGCTATTTTTTCCTGTGTCTGCTGGCATCCTGTATCTATTCTCTGAGGACCTTACCGACATGACCCAATTCACGTTTGATCTGCACACTCCCTGAAATATGCAGCCAGGGCTAGGAGAGTTGTTGTACCAGGCTGGGGTTAGTCACTGCCATGGCCTGAATTGTACTCTCCCACACACAAAATCATATGAAACCCTAACCCCCAACATGATTGTATCTAGAGATAAGGTCTTTGGGAGGCAATTAAGCTGAAAAGAGATAATAAGAGTGGGGCCTAATCGTGATCTTATAAGAAGAGGAAGAGGAAAAGATCTCTTTCCCACCCTCCACCACATACTGGCACTCTGATATCTGACTTCCAGCCTCTAGAACTATGAGAAATAAATCCTGTTGTTAACCTATGTATGCCTGGTGTTCCATTATTGGAATGCTAAGCATTGGGAGTTATTTATATCTTGCTCAAGATCACCACCAAAGTCTGATTGCAAAAATTCAAAAAATTGCAACCTCAGGCATAAATGAGGTTAAGCCCTGCAGTCTATGGTGTTTTGCTATGGCAGCCCGAGCTCACTAAGTCACCCAACTCAGCCGAGGACACAGGGAAGCTCATTTCATAGACACCATGGGGAGCTGAAGAGGCTTTGTAGCCACCAGCCGCAGCTCCTGCTTGCTTCTCAGCCTAATTCTGAGCCTGACTCCTGAGCTCACACAGCTTCTCACATGAAGAACTTTATATCAATTATTTTTGTCATGTTTCTAGCTCCTCGTGTGTGTCTTTTCTTGCAATACCCAAGAGCTCCCCCAGCAGCAAAATAAACTTTATCTCGAATATTAGGTAGGCCCTTCATCAATTTTGTTTACCCTTAAATTAGCAAAGCTGAGTCTTCTCCTGCCTTCGGCTACCCTGAAAAGTGAGACAAATGAGGTAGAGAAGAGAGCAAAGAAACAGCTCTCCTAAAAGTCACAGCAGGAAAATCAGGTGGTCTCTTCTGCTGTGCACAAAAGTGAAATGTCAGATGCTGTGGACCCTTCCTGAGAATGTGAGCCTACAGGCTGTTCCCTGGTGAAGCCATCAGCAACTCAGAGAAAGAAGAACTGTGTGTGTGGAGGTGGAATAAGCTTCCTCTGTTCCCCTGCCTGCTTCTCCCTTCCCCATCAAGAGTCTCCTCCCAGAGCAGCCCACCTCCTCCGGCAGCAGACACCCAGCCTACCACCTGTCCCCAAACCTTCCCTTCCACCGGGCCTGGGCAGCCCATGCAGTGAGTGCAGAGCAGCAACAGAGTCCAGGGCCCATGTCTGACTACCCACCCTGCCCCTCACCCTGCAGGCCTCTCTGAGCCTAGCCTGTCCTGGGTATGAGCAAGTCCTTGTCTCAGACAGTGTTGGGCCTCTGCACAGTTCTTTCCTGCTCAGAATAGCAATGATCGTCATTCTAATAACCACCATATATTGACTGCTTGCTATTTACCAGTCACTGTGCTGAGTGTTCTATCAGCCTGGCTTCGTATGAGTCTCACAGCAATCCTATGACGTGTGTAATAGTACCATCATCTCTATTTCACAAATGAGGCAAGTGAATCCTAGAATGGGAATTCCTAGAGTCTGGCCAGTTCCCTACCCAGTAGTGGACAGTGGGGCCCCTCCAGATGGGCTGGAAACCAACCCCCACATGTAAGACCTCTGTATGATTCCAACGGAGAAATGAAGCAAAATTCTTTAGAAATTCATTTTTTACATGCAATTAAGGGCTACTTACAGGCAATCCCATAATTGTATTATTAAAGCTAACCACAATTTGGTTTTCATAAGCAAAAATTAGCTCATTGCTAGAGTTTATCATACATTATAATTCAATATTTTCTTGAGAGGTAGGAGGCTTGGCAATACTATGCTGGTTCCACTGTCCCTGAGCACACACAGAGAACTGGTGGACCCATGATTTTCACAACTCTTCATTACCAAGTGCCATTGCCTTTTGTCATGAATTGACAAACAATTTCTATCACTGTTTTCTTACTCTGGAATGATACCTTGCCATTTTAGCTTTATCACTACTTAATTTGTTGTGGGTCTTCTTTTTAACCCTGTTGTGAGTGGTGAAGCATACTGAATATTTTGTGCCATTATTCTCCAAGTACTTGATTGAAGAAATGGACACATGCATTAGGTTAAACCAAACGGAACTGTCTGTATTTAACCATTTCTTACCTTAGGTTAAACCCTATGAAACGGACTATATTCAACCATTTTTGACCTACAACAATGGCAGTTCTGTATGTTTCAGTCTGATAGTTCAAATGTAGATTATTCATATCTTGTTTGTGAGACAGTCGTAGGCACAATTTCCTCCAAATATGCCTGCACAAGGACACTTCACTGGTGGTATTCTGCCTATGAATTTGTGCCCATCTAAATAAATTGCCACATGCTATTACAAGGTAATTGTAAGAAAATTGGTAAGTTATGAAGTTTACATATATTTTTCTAGGATTCAAAATTTGGATTATGAGTTCATATTTTTTCCTTAGAATGTATTCCTTTATAGTCCTCGCTCGTTCATTATCACCTGCTTCCTCTTCCACTGTGAAGTGGAAATGGGTAGAACACAAGCACCTTGGGATTTTTTGTGCCACCTTCACAGACCCTGGTCAAAGAAGCGTGATAAGGCCTACTCTAAGGGCCAGAGAGGTTTTTCAGTTCCCATAACTAGGAAGTATGAATTCAGGATTCCCATCCATGCCAGCCTCACAGATGGAGGATGTGATACATTTCTGGTAAATGGCATCAGTTACATTCCTGTGGCTGACTGAGCACACACAGAGAACTGGTAGACCCATGATTTTCACAACTCTTGAGGTTAACAAGAGTTAACCTCTGCCCTCCTTGTTAATTCCTGAGGGAAATTGGAATACTAACATGTATTGAGGGACTACTGCATGCCTACCGCTCAGTTAGTTAGGTCAAAATTTGTTTCATATCATAACAAACCCCAAGAGATTGAGATTGTCAATTCATACAGGTGGAGAAATAGGTTTACAGGCTTGAATACTAGCTCCATATTGCAGAAGTAGTATGTAGACCATGAAAGCAGAAAGCAAACTTCAAAACCCGTGTGATCGTTCACTGTACTATCTTTTCTTTTTTTCCTCCCTATCCCCCATACTCAATTCTTCACCTGTGAAATTACACCAAATCTGTCCACATTCCACCATCTTCCCTTCTGATACTCCACCACCATCTCTCCTGTGGACAAGTGCAGCAGCTCCTGGCTTCCTTCCTACATCCAGCCCCTGCCCACATCCTCTCTCTTGTCCCCGGATTGCTCCTAGCAGCCCCATTCTATGTACAGATCTGATCGTGCCCCCACCTCTTCAACAGCCCCGCAGAGCTTAAGGGGTATAAAATATTCCCTTACCCAGCTTTCCAACCTACCTTTCTGGCCATCTTTTCCAACACATCCTACCCACCCCCACCACCCCCACACCACCAAACCTTCCAACACCCCTTGACCTTTCCAATGCAACTCCTGGGCCTCTGGGTACTTGCTACTTAGGGAAGCTGTGGGCCCCTCTATCAGTTCTTCACCTGGCAGTGTTCAATAAATGTTCATGAGGTGTACTAGTACCCCATAGCCTCTTGTGCACGTGACAGCGCATTGGAAAGCTGTTTTGTACAATAGATTGAAAGCTTAACTGGGAATGAGGTTGCTTGAATCCTAGTTCAGGCTCACTGGCTGTGCCACCAGGGACAGAGCAGACTTAGTCTCAGTCCCCTGGGACCTGTAAAAGGTGGTATATCAGATTGCCCTTCTGGGGTTCACATCTGATGATGAAAAGGACTAGGCTTATCCTGAAAGTTATCCCTTTTTCTCAACAGCAGCAAAGGACCTTGGAAGTCTTCTAAGGAGAGTCATGGCATATAATCAGGAGTCTTCAGCAGAGACTTCCATCATCAAGTTCAACAACCAAGACTTTACCACCTTGTGGAATCACTGTCTGAGCATGGGCCAGAAGTTTGAAGATGAGACATTTCCTGCAGCAGATTCTTCCATAGGCCAGCAGCTGCTCCAGAGCAAACCCATCTCCAGGGTGCTATGGAAGCGGCCACGGGTGAGTGAGCCCCACAGGGGCATACTCAGGTCCAGGGTCCTCAGAGCTGCCTGCCATGGCACTTCCAGGCAAAAGGAGGCTTGAAGTCATGGAGCCTGGAGGCTAGGCCAAACCAAACTAGAAGGAGAATGAAATTCACTGGGTCCCTCTGCTCCAATGTTGTAGCTACTCAGCAGGATGGGAAGACGCTATAGCAGGAACCAGGAACCCAGATTCCTGAGTTCTAACCCAGGTCTAACACTAAGTATATCACTAAATTAAAATGCTTCAGTTTTTCATCTAAAAAATGGGAAACCATAGGTTTTCCATTGTGAAGATCGTGGTTGTTGCTTTTTGGAGTCTCCTCCACCCCTTAATTGAACCCCCATCTATTGCTCTGTCACCCTTTCTTCTCTTTGGGTATCCATATCTTTATATTCTTTTTTCCTTCCTTGTTAGAATTTGCTCAAAGGGAAGATATCAGGTCAGTTGTTTACAGTACAGGATTAATTCAAATAATTGCCTCCCCTCTTTCTTTTATATTCACATTCTCCATCTTTGAGAAGCTTGACCACTTGTAAGAGAATTTTAGACGCCAACTGTAAAATTAGGGAGATACTGCAGGGCAACATTCAGACCACCCTGACTCAGCTCTACCTTGCAGCCAGGTGAGCCCTGCTGGGTTTTCTGGAACTATCTCAATTTTAGGGCATGACAACACCACAGAAAATTTCTCAACTGACTCATTCTGATAATCTCATCAGGACTACTGCTGATGCAAAGCACCTGGATAAGGACCACTCTAAGTACCCGGCTGCCCAGACCTCTATTCATGCTTCTGCAGGTTGCCAGCATAACCTAGAGTGAAAGAAAATGTTATAATGTCTACTAAGCTAATCACTGTAATATCTGCAACAATTATTGAGCATAATGCCAAACATTGTCCAAACACTTCCCATAAAGCCAAGGTAGGTTTTAGAGTAAAGGTATTTTCTAATGATGGCTATTAAGAGGCTGTGAGGTCCCCTAACATATTTGTCTGGTCTGTGGATATCTAATTCAGTTCTGCTGAATGTGGGAGGGAGAACTGAAGACATCAGGCTCTTGGAGGTGACACCTTTTGCCCTACATGGGGACAGATTTGAAGCTGTGGTGGAGGGAAAGGTTAGTGGGGATCAGGTAGGGTTTGGGTTGCTGTTTAGAGAAAAACGGGGTGTTTCAGCCTTCCAGGATCCTCTTATCAGCCATTGGCAATAAGTCCTCAACAACGACTCTTTTCTTCTGTCCTTTACCTCCTAAGGAGAGCTGAAGCAGAGAATACTATTTAAAGAAGTTCCAAGGGGTCATTTTTTCACCTTTGCTATTTTCAGAAGCTGAGATTACTTTTTAAAGTGATGGGATTTTTTTTTTCACAAGATGCTGAGTAATAGATGTGAAACCATATTTGTAGCGTTTAAGAATATATAACACTTCTCTTGAGAAAGGGTTGAGAGATTCTAATTACCTGATTCTCATGGCAACTCAACTTGTGATGTCTTTTGGGGACAAGGAGAAACTGAGGCAAACAGAAGTGGAGTTACTTACAAAGAATAATTCCAGGAACCCAAAATAGAGGCAGTCAGGGGCCAAATCTATTTTTCTCGTTACTAACTTCCTCATCCAAAAGTTTACCTTAGCTCTGCCGGCAGGCTGGGTATGGGGGGTGGGTGGTAATTTTCATTCTGACATTTCTTTTTAAATGTCATATTTCTTTGTCTTTCTTATCACAACTGGCAAGGCTTACCTTTGTATAGTACTTCCCAGAGTTTTCCATGTGTCTTCTCGTACTTTGTTTCCTTTGTTTTCTCCTAATTTTATAGAAGAGAAAACTGACATTCAGACAGGTGGTGTGACATGCCAAGGTGACATGATTAGCAAGAGAAGGATTCAGAATTTAAATGAAGATTCCTTCCACCTGCTGCACTTTTCCTCCCACTGACTGAAGTGCCTAACAGGGACTCTTAGAATTTGGATGAACAAGTACATGAGTGAATGGATGAATGAAGAACTTTACCTACAGTGTCTGATACATGTTTCAAGTTCATATGTACAAGAAAGAAACCTTGAGTCGACCTATTTTCCAAGTAGAACAGTAGAGGAGCCAATGTACTCACCCCTTCGACACTGTGATGTCCTTGACCCACACTGTGCAGCTGTGACTGCAGAGAGCACTGGAAGACAAGCCATGCCAGCCTGGCCCAATCCTAGTAGTGATGGCCACGACCCACAGAGTGCTGACCATATGGCAGGCCTGGCTTTAGGGGCTTTGACTTGTCAATCCTCCCAATAACTCTATGATAAGGTACTATTATTCACCTCATTTTGCAGATGAGAAGCAGAATCAGATATTAGGGGGACCTGCCCAAAGTCACACAGTTAGATGATAGTAGAGCTGGAATTTGAACTCAGGAGTCTGATTCCAAGACCTGAGTTCCTAACACCATGCTGCATGGCCCCTGGAAGGCCTCATCATAAGCTCATGTCCTAGTCTGGGCTCCTGCCTGTCACTTCTTAGTAATGTTTTTTGCGCCAGTAGAATCTTCTACCTCATGTGAGTAAACAGGAATCAATCCCTCTCTAAAGTTGATATCTCTGTGTATGTTCTGCCCTTTTTTCCATGTTTAGGGATAAAATGATACCTGTACCACATCTGATTAAGGACTAAATGAGTTCAATACTAGAACAGTGTCTAGCACAGTGTAAACACTAGTTATTGTCACTGTGATTAATTTGGAAGAATGTCATAAGGTAGCGGCCTCAGGGCTATACCCTGGGATTTTTGGGCTTTTACAGTCCAGCCATCTCAGCTTCAGCCCTTGGCCAGTTTCAGAAAACTCTTACAGGGGGAAATGTGGGTCAGAGGAAACTATTTAGGGGCTGAAAGTAGGCTGGCAGGGGTTATAGGAAATGCCTTTCTTCTCTTATTCTGCTTTCTTTTTTTTTTTTTTTTTTTTTTTTGACAGAGTCTGGTTCTGTCACCCAGGCTGGAGTAAGTGGCACAATCTCAGCTCACTGCAACCTCCACCTCCTGGATTAAAGTGATTCTCTTGCCTCAGCCTCCAAAGTATCTACGATTATAGGAATGAGCCACCATGCCTGGGTAATTTTTGTATTTTAGTAGAGATGGGATTTTACCCTGTTTGCCAGGCTGGTCTTGAACTCCTGACCTCAAGTGAGCCACCCACCTTGTCCTCCCAAAGTGCTGGGATTACAGGCATGAGCCACCACACCTGGTCTCATGTTCTGCTTTTTATCACTATTTTTAGAAGGTTGACTCCCAAGCTATAGCTTGCTGAGTGCCTGTCCAGAGAGATCTGACCAGTGCCCCTTAAACTTCAACTCTGTAATGGCTGAGGTAGCACCAGGGTGTTTAGGCCATCTCCACACTCTAGGTTTCTCCAGACAATGAGAAAGCTCCTCCTGTAGGCAACTGATAAACCACCAGAGATATCATTCTGTCTTGAGTTTTTATCCAGCTTGGCAGGTTCAGCACTAACCCAAGAGTCAGGGGTAGAAGAACCAAGCTTAGTTTTCTATGCCTGGTGCAGAAAAGTTGTTTTGTATCCTATACCTTTCTCTGTCTCTTCCCCACCATCTTACTTTCCCTTTCCTTCCTCTAGCTCTCGTCCTCCCTTCCTGTAACAATTCACCCAATAATCTAATCCATTTGCTGCTGAAACGTTTTCTGAAGTAGAAGGAAGCCCCGTTTTCATCTTGCCTCATTCTTTTTCCAAGCCCTTCCCCTCCCCTAGTCAGGCTCTGTAACAGCCCATGACAGTGCCCTGTGCAAATGGCACTGAGAGGACCCGACTCCTCATCAGTCTCAATGCTTCCTACAACCCCAGTCTCAGCAAGGGACAGGGTTAAGGATTACACTTACACATGGGGTATCTATGTGACATTTCCCTGAGCTAAATTTGGTACTTAGAGTGGATCTCTTTTAGGAGAATTTTTACTTCATGGATAATTTATCAAGCATGTACATGTGTGAAGTATTATGCTAAGCACTTTACATGAAGTCTTTCATTTAATTACCCTCACAGTCCTGTGAGGTAGATAATATTATCATCCTCATTAAATTGATCAGCATCATCCATTAGAACATTCTGTGATGATAGAAATTTTCTTCCTGCACTGTTCAATACAGTAGCCACTAGTTACATGTGGCTATTGAGCACTTGAAATGTGACTGATGCAACTGAGGGATTTAAATTTTATTGAATTTAAATTGATTTAAATATAAGTATCCTCATGTGGCTCAAGGCTACCATATTGGGCAGTACACAATTGTAGATGGTAGATCTTCACAACAATCGCCAGTGTATGTCAGACAGACTGAAATTTCATCTTTGTACTCATTTTGTAGTAAAAACAATTTTACTTCTCAACTGAAAAATGGGCTGTATGCCCAAAACATGTTGCTTAACAGGTGTTCAAAGCTCAGCACAGCCCCATTGTGGCTTCCTGCCTATGGCCATCCTAGAGTGAGGCACTGCCTATCCAGGCGACACCTCTTCTTCCATGCAGCCAGAGTGGTTTCTGAAAGGATCATTCAACTAGAAACAATTCACCTTGGGGCCAAAATGTGTTCTTCAGGAAAGGAAGATGTTAATAAAGTAGAGTTATAAGTGTAGGTTAGATTATGAAAACATTCTGTAAGGCAATAGGTAACAAAATGTAGCAGAAAGTGACCCTGCCAACAGCCAAGTGTCATTCAGCCGAAGAACTTTGATGCCAGTAAATCAAAGCCCTCTAGCAAAAATAGAAAAGGGAGTGACGCTGCCACCTGTCCCAGACTGAACTCTGGCCACCGTGTGAAAGGACCAAATACCAAGATGCTAGACACGGGCTTTCTTATCTAAGAGCAGCCTGCCGTGTGTGGATGTGGAAGTCTTTAGAGAGAATGCAGGAATATGCCAAGTGCTGTCACACGGAAGACATTATTTCTGGGCATATTTCTCCGCCTACCTCTGGAGACGATT